AGAGTCCTGTCGTCTGCCCATAGCCTGAAAGGCACGCAGAATTGCATCTTGTTTGCCAAAGTCATTCTTCTCTTTCTGGAAATTGCATGGACTTCTTGGCTCTAGACGGTCAGACGGAATGTGTTCCAGAATGTCAACAGAATCAAGAAAGCAAAACTTGCTGCGCCGCACAACTCTCGATTTTTTTATCGGTTTGAGTTGGAGACAGGTGGTGTGCTTTTGGATGAACAAGACTCCGGCTTGCCAATGCCGAAGCGAGTATCAGTCGCCTGTCTGCAACGGTCGCCTAAAACAGTCCACCACAAAGTCTATGTGGAGTTGGCCAACCAGAGAGGTCGGAACCTCCGCCTGATAAGCTCAACAAACTCAGGCTAATTTCACAGAGTTTTGATCAATCACTTTGTGGCACAGGAAGCTAATCAGAGGTTCTGTCCGAGGCAACTAGCCGCAGTTTCTTCTCGAACACACGTAGTCTGTGCTTATCGAACGGACTTGGCCCTGGCATTCAATCCCGTTCATTTCCAACAAGCTTACTCGGCCTTTACGAACCGGACCTGGCTCCAGTACGGGCTTTACCCCAGCTTTGTATAATGCAGTTTCAAATTGCTGTTGCAAGAATTCCATTTTCTAGAAAGTGGCAACGACATGGAGTCAAGCTTTAGAATGGATCCTGCCTGAAGCGAGACCTTAGCTTGGCTTATGGGATGCTCAAAGTCAACCTTTCGACACACGTCGCTCTTCACTGCCAATGGTCTTGGATCTGGACTTGTATTTTGGCGCACAATCGACATAACAGCTCGGAGTCAACTGTTGTTGGACGGAGTTAACCAGCTTCAAAGCTGCCTGTAGCATTTGATGCCTTGTGTCGCTGGCTTTGGTTAAGCCCTTTGCTCACTCTCTTAAAGCCCTTTGAAACCTTATGGTTGGCCAGACGCCGTGATGCAGAATAGAATCTTACGGCTCTCCTGTCAGCCAACGCACAACCTCCAAATTTGGCCACACTGGGCGCTTTGTCATTTGCCCATGTGCACTACCGTGTTGATTGAGTCGGTCAGTGGCAAGCGTGACACGCTTCCGGTCGTCACTTACGCTTCCTACAGTTGATACCGGTGCTCTGTGGGGCGCCACCATTCCACCTGGCAGGTGCTTCGTCCATTGATTCACAGGAACACAATTCGTCGCCGTGTCTTCTTGCTTGTCTTCGCAACCTCGAAGTCGCACTACCACTGTTCAAGTCGATCTTGAGACTGTGGTGGTGTTTGCTTTGTGTCCCGTCTCGCTATTTACGTTCGACTGTATGTTGGGGCGGACTTCTTTCGCGGCTCATTGCTTCTCCATGGAACCGATGGGCGAACTTCCACGGCCACTGCAGGTTCTCCGCCACACTCCCTCCAAAGTGTAGCCAGGCAAAAACTTCTTCTAAATACGCATTCGTTTTAAATAATCAAATCAACAAGTACTGCAGTCTTGCTAAGCGCAGCACCAACTGCATTTGTTTCGATTCAAAAGCAAAAGTCACAGAACACTGTTGCTGTCATGACTGCACAGCTCAATGCTGTGCGTAAGTTTCCCAAGAAAACAGTCGCATTTGTGGGCCTGCATTTCTGAACGCGGAGCGACCATGTCTTCAGCAAGATGCAGCCGCCAAAAACCACATCAGAAGTCGTAGTGGGTTTCAAAAAGGTCGAGGTGTTCATTCGTTGCAATTTTCCGCTTGGAAGCGACTCGTTTGGCGCTCATTGCATGGATGCGGCAGCAGCCCCACCCCCCTAGACTCCTTAGCATCCATCTTCTTCACGGCTTCGTGGAGAAGCTCTTGTTCCTCATCCCTGTTCAAAAGTAGTAAACATTTGAAACGGGATATGTCCTTCTTGAATCCCAGTTTTTGCAAGGGAAGGCTTTCTCCGCCGTCCGTCCCTGTTTCATGCAGTGTTTTAGGATGTGGTGTAAAAGCTCATATTTGCAAGGAATATGCCGCACCTTCTGACAGCGTCGCGCGGAGTTACGAATTCGTTACTCCATGCGACGTTTTAGTAATTCAGAATAGAAAGAGCTGTGTTTTAGGATGTGGTAAAAAAGCTAGTATTTGCGAGGAATTTGCCGTAACTGTAGCAGTTGCTACGAACTCGTTACTCCATGCGACGTTTTAGTAAACCAGAATAGAAAGAGTTGGTATAGTTTGAAGCAAGTCAAAACGTCTCAGCGGCCCTGCAGAGTCGCGCGGAGTAGTGGGGCACGGAGTAGTTGAAACTGTAGCAGTTGCTACGAATTCGTTACTCCATGGGAGCCTCCAGAGTATCCGGGACCTTGTTTCGACCTCCATTGTGACAGATTTGACGGGCTCATGTTCGAGACCGCAAAACCCTTCGAAAACGGGTGCGCCACAGGGGCCTCCCCAGTTATCAGCACTGCTGCAGATACTGCTTGTAACAACTTTCATAGAAGCTTTTCTGCGCTGACTTTTCTTGCTGCTCTTGGACTTGTCGATTTAGATGATCATCTTTTTTCCCTGCGGTTACCCTGGACTTCCAATTTTGTCTAGTCTTGGATTGTCTGTTTCTTTGATCGTTTTGATCACCAAACCGCTGCATCCACCGCAGCAAAGTTCCGCAAGATTTCGCATGGAAGACTGAAGAAAAGTTCTTGCGGTTGGTGTCCATCGAGGCTCGTTCGCGCAAGAGAAGCCAGCGCGTTAATGTAGAAGTTCTTCGAGGCCCATCTTCTGGGCTCCAGGTCGGAGTTTTGTTCTGTTTTTCTCGGTTTGCGTTTCAGAGTTGAAGATTTGAGCGTGTTCGGGCTTGCGTTTCAGGCTGAAGGATTGGAGTGTGGTAAACGTTGACCCCAGACTGGAAAGCGACGACGCCACATGTGGCCTTTTGCAAGCTTGTCTCTCTTGTGCAAAAACAAGCAGCACATGTCGGCTTTCGTCGTTCTGTCTAGATGATCTTCACGACATGGAGCTTGCAAATGCACAAGAATTGGACCCTTCCAACCCTTGCAACTTTGGAGCGGTCTTCCAATTGGACAAGAATGGATCTGGTCCAACTTTCATGGCTTGGAGCGGCTCCTAAATGGACAAGAAATGAAGAAGACAAAGCTCTTTGAACTCTGGACTGGGCGCGCCATGTGCTCGGACGATTCGTCCAGCTCAGTACTGCCATTGCTGCCATGTTGGTTCTTCAAACCAAGCAACAAACAGACTCGGACAGATCGGATCCTAAAGTTGAGGCACTTGGGTTCATAAAAAACCAGGCACAAAACACTCTTTGCAATCCTCCTGAGTCAACTGCAGATCTCTGAATGCTTACGGCAGATCCTGAAGTAACATAGAAAGCTGGAAGAACGTCGCATTTCGTCCAGCTGCAATGAGTTTCACTCCAGGCTTTTTTTTGCAAGTTTCGATTTAAGAATTTAAAGTTGAAGTTTCGTATAGGCCCTTGGAGCCAGCAGAGGGAATGCCAAAGATTTCGGTTTGAAAAGCAAAAACGTAGTTTTGCCACAGAAACAAGACGTACATATTGAGGTCAGAATCCATAGCTTCGAAAACGACGTTCAGTTTGGTGGGCTTGGTTGCAAATGTTCATGATGTTCATTTTTTTGCGACGGCTTTCCAGGCATCAACAGACAAGGTTTGCACATTCAAAAAGCATTGTTCTTGCAAGTGCGGTCACATGCGTTGTGGTTGTCTGTTTGTTGGAAATCCAAGCTTGGATCCAATGCGGCATGTTCTGCCAAATGCGTGTGACCCTTGTACACTGTGCGCTCGGATTCTGCAACCTTTGCAGTGATGTTTGCGTTGCAAATTTTGGCGTTTTCCAGCTTGTTGGCAGCCAAAGCAAGTTGCTTGTCCTTAGTGTTCCAAATGTTTTCGATTGGCTTCGAAAGACGCAAAATTGACAGGGTCCGCATTTTCTGTTGTTTGTTTGTGAGTGTTTTGCTAAGCTTAATCGAGTCCGCCAAGGAGACAATGTCACGCCAAATATACAAACATCTTGTGATCTGGCCGCACACCGCAATGCACAAAATTGTCGACTAGAAGCAGCGGCTTCGCAACACAAGCATGGCAACGGCCACTTCATAGCACGTGCAATGATGCGTGCAAGTGAAAACAAGTGAACTTCAACTCTGCTCGGATTATAAATTATAATCCATTGGCATTGGTTTCCATTGTTGCTCCACCAGGCTGAACCTCAAATTGAAATGCACATGCAGCTCGGTTCTCTCGTTTGAAAGAACCTGGATTCCAACTACGGTTTATCTTTCAAACCTGTTGCCAATCTGGATCACCTTTATTTTCTTGGGTTTTAAAATTCGAAGCCAAGTTTCTGTTTTGGGGTGGAGGCCGTAAACTCGTTTTTTTTCTAATGATAAACAGTGGCCATTTTGAATTTTTTTACATGTTTTTTTTCATCAGTTTGCTCTTTTTGATGCTGACGGATAACCCAGATACTTCGGAAAACTTTGAGGGATGGTGGGAACTTTTCCGTCGCTTGTAATTGTAAGCTCGTGCAGCGGTTTGCTGCCAGCAGCAGTTCGTCGCCAACGGATGTTGTATTAATAGTATTAATGGCTTAATGATCGTGTTGCTTCATGTCAGTGTTGAAAGTTGGCCTTGAGCTTTCATCTTCGAGGCGAAGCAACCTCGTGAACAAAAATTAGCTGGTCGACGCATCAATCACAGCGGCACATGACCAAACGAAGCAAACACATTGAAATCAAATCTCACAAGCAGCATGGAAAGGTGGGTCTGCCGAACAAACATGCATGAGTAATTTTCTTGCTCTGCCAGGCAAGGTTTCTACAAGTGTTTGTATGCCGAGAATGAAAGCAAAATCGGAGAAGCTCAGAGGTATGTCCAAAACACATGCTTAGGGTTTACAGCCGTTTGCTGCAAAAGGGAAAATTCTCGTTTCACTTGCTCTGCGGCGAAACCTAAAGCATTTGGCGCAAGGTCCGATAATTGCACTCAGAGACATTGCTACCTATCGTCAGCCAAGACAATGCTGAAGTCACACACCAAGGCTTTTGGCCTCAATGCTGCCTTTGGCTCGAAGTGCAGTGGGTGCATTGGAGACAAGTGCAGGTCGTCGAGTTGTTGTGACTCAGACCTTCTGTTCCGAAGGTGGGCTTGCACAGAGTTACTTGTGTCTGCGGAAGACCGCGGAGATATCACAAACCCGACGGGTACCGCAGCGCATGCATCTGTTTCCTGTTTCATGTCAGGTTTCGGACCGGCACATTCTCGTAAGTGTTGATGCTTTGAGGTTGTAGGGAGTTTTACCGATGATGTGTGGGTAATTTGTGGGGTTTGCCTATATCGTGCGAGAGCCTGCTTTGTTGATGCAGGCCTGTCTTCAAGCTACTCAGTCCGATCGTTTGGAGGGAGGAAGCAGGCGCCCGGCCCTGTTCAGCTCCGCCGCTGAGAGTCTGTCTACCAAAGCTGTCGACCTGAAAGCCGAGATGTGCTTTGCTGCAGGTACAGCATGGCCCGTTCCGTTTCTTTGTCAGACGCCTCAAACACTGTTTCAGCCCAAGTTGCTCAACTGCGCATTTTCCTTTGTGTTGGTGGACATGGGCGTTGTGGGTTGCAGCAACACGTCTATTCTCATATCCTGTTGGGGACCTCCAGTGGGGTGGCTGAGGTGGCAGTTCACTTCCAGACAGACTGTCCAAGGCCACTGCAATCTTTTCATGGCGATGTGCTGCCTGCACAGCGGCACATGCATTCTTGGCACGTAGACATCGGGCTCAGAATATTGCTTGTCGGATGGCTTCAATTTGGATGTTAGATTCAGCAGGGCACTTCCGAGCTTCAGTATCCAGCACACATTCCGACCAGGTATACTCCGTCTGCAATTATGTGTGTGTTTTCACCACGAAATTGTCAAAACTTTGACCAAGTAGAGTCTGCGCCTAGTCCGAAGATGAGGGGCCTTTCGGTCTGCACTGCGTGGTCCGCTGCCTGGAGCTGTCGCATAGAAAGCCGATCACGGAGCACTTGCGGGAACAATAACAAGAATGCAACCCCGACCTCGCAACCGCGTGCCTGCAGTGCGATCTCCGGCGCACGCCCACGAGCCTGCGAGTGCGACGTAGCGTTGGTGCACAGGAACCTTGATGAGGCGACTGCGCTCTTTTCGAGGCATGCAGGGATGTGCTCGATGCCATTGCCCCAAGCCCTCACTAGGTGTGTATCCTGATAGTTAGCGCTCTGCCTTCGATTCCAGTAGCCGGCCTGGGCCGATCATAAACTTAAACTGACCAAGCTTCGTGTTTCGAAGCAGGTTTGGCGACATCGCGCGGCTAGACACCACCTTGGGCCGGGGCCCAAGCACGTTGTCCGGACTTCATGCTGGCAGGGTCGAGAGGTATCACCCTGAGCCGACGATCCGTCTTGGCATGAACACAGGTGCCGTCACCGGATTGGTGTTCGTGACTTTCTTTGATGTGAGAGTTGCACAGAAGGCCGGGACGCCTGTTCGACGGGGCTCGGTTTGAAGAGCTTGGATGCGGGCTCGAGGAGGGACAGAGACGGCACAGAGGCAGAGAGGCAGAGAGGTGGTGGTGGAAGGGGATGTGCTCTTATTGTCCTCTCACCCTCCGACCTTCGGAAAGCAAGTTTAAACCGAACCAGGTTGAATGGACTCAATGTGATGTTGGGCCTAATGAGTGTAATGCATGGTGTTTCCAATGGCTTCAAGTACGGCAGCATAGAACCAGCAGGTTCTGCAGCATTTCGGCGCACTGGCGGAGCCTTTTCAACCGGCCGCGTACGACTTTCGTGTCTCCTTCTCAGTCCCAAAACGTTCCAGCTGCTTCACATGTTGGCCAACACAGATCTGGGAAGGGAGCGAGCAGGGGACTTTCATTTTGCAGGCTGTGAGCATCGCTCCGCACGTCATTGCTGATCTCCCTGTTCCTGGCTCAGCAGTATAGCTTTGAACCGTTCAGGAAGTCAGAGCAGTGAACTGGGCGGCGTGTTTGCGAGATACTTCGGGGTGCGTCTCTGTGTTGTTGTTCCACGGACGAGTCTTCGTGGACATCCTGTTGTAGTCAGGGCAAGTGAAGTGCAGAGGATAAGATCGTGCTCCAAGCTGCCACCCTGGCCTCACAACCCCGACCAGAAGCAAGCTTTCAGGACCAGTTTGGTCAACTTCACAGCTTCGGAGAGATTGCTGGCGTCTCGCTTTGCGGAGAGGCCCGGGTGATTGGAAGGACCTGCATTGCAGACGTACCACATGCTCGTTTCTTTGGAAGGAGATCGTGGTCGAGTTCTATGACATGCGTGCAGCTCAACAGGTCAGAGACGCTGGGAGTGCTTGGGTTTTTGGTTCCCGAAATTCGTCCTCCGCCGTTGCACGATGCAGTTCGCGATCGTGGCAGGTCACGTTCTTTGTTCCGGCCAGCCGGCCAAGGCGGCAGGTAACCCAGTAAAGCACTCAGAAGAGTCGTGTCAGCTTAGCAGTGTCGAGAGCCGCGGATCAAGCTAACAGTATCTTGAGCCATGCTCGCACTAATTGCTCGCATTTGGAGAGCTCCGATGTGTGAAGTTTCCAGGACTGCCGGACAGGGGCAAGGACAAGCACAAGTGCAGAACGGCCAGATTCCGGCGCCCGAGCTGCACAGCCCGTTTGCCGACATTTTTCTACATTTTGGGGTGTTGATCTGGATTGCTTGATTTGGTTTGAACTTAGGTTGGGTGATGTGAAGGGGTCTTGCAGCGATGGAGAAAGCCGGTTGAAGTTCTTCAGGGCTGGCACCTGACCCCTTCCTACACGAAGCAAGCCACCTAAGCGCGTCTTGATCCGGGTTAAATCAGGAAAGAAAGTAAGCCCTGCTACCCTGTCGGTTGGCATGGAATTGGCTTGGGGCGGGTAGCAGGATGTGGGTGACAAGGCCGAAGTGCGGTGTCCATGTTTTTCTCATGCCAGAGGCTGAAAACATCCAAAAGGCTTGCTGCTTGTTCCGAGTTGTCCGGAGGTGCCCCGCAGTCCGCTAGCCACGGACTGGGTGCAGGCGCTGGACTCCGTAGCATCTTTAGATCGAAAGTAAGTAGCCCTGATGCGCAACTTGTGGGATTCTGGCACTGCACTCCCGAAGGAGACCTTGAGTGCCTCGAAGGCCTTTTCCTTGCAGGGGGTCTGCATCTCAGCTTTGGCTGTGCACGACAGAGCCATACACCTCGTCTCCGAAGTTCACCCCGGTTCCTTACGGGATTGACCGAAGGCCGTCCCCGGGTCATCCCCGCTGACCGGCAAGGAAAGCCGCAGTCTCAGAGCGGATTTTTGGTGGATGGGGCCAAGCCAGTGATGTCCAAACTGTTTAGTGAATGCTAGGAAAAAGAGTTCAGGATGGCATGCGACAAGAGTGTTGAGCTACTCGCCAAGTTGGCGATTGCGTTTTGTGTTGGGTGGTGATCGCTTTCTCCAACAGGTGAGCCTCCCACCACCCCGCCATCAAAAAGTGGACCGAAATGGCAAGGCCGCTCGTGCGATGGCGGTACTGGGTTCGGGTTTGCCAAATTCTGCTCCAGCAACTTCCTTCCTGGAGCGGTGCTGGTGGCAACGTGCATCACAATTCATGTCCCTTGGCACAGTTCATACGTACTCTTGGAAGATAGACGGCAAACCTCAGACTCAACATTGAAGCCTTTCCCGGATGGCTGAACGTGGCGCAGGACCTGGCAAGCCTGTGCGTGAGAAGGTGAGAATGGAGGAGTCTTGGTCCTTAACCAGATGAGCCGGAACGGAATGTGTATCAGACATCTGACTCCCTTCCAGGACTTGCTAAAGTTCGACATCGTGCCCGAGAAGATCCAGTCCGGCGAGGACACCAGGACCACTGCCATGGCCTCGGTACCCGCCATGCCAAAAGTCTGCTTCGGGCTTCGGGTGTCTATGCCCAATTTGGGATGCTTCTCATTGCACGCCTAGGTGATGGTGAGGAACATTCCCAAGGCCTGCATGACTTTGTCGAATGTGTGTGCTGTTGAACATGTCGTGCATGTCGAGCCGACCATCTCGATCATGAGTTGTGGCATTTGTTGCCAGGCCTGCACCCGAGAGGCATTCGTGGAGCTGCTAAACCCTTGTGGTTTGTCGGACAGGCACGCAAAGTAGCCAATCATGGTTAGAGCAGACCCAATCTGAGAGAAGTGGATCCGAGCGAGGTACACCTTCTTCTACATGCCGTTTGATAAACGTCGCAACATGCACTGTGGCTTCGCCTTCATCAACTTCCGGTCTGGGAGCCCGGCAACATCACGCTCACCATGCTGACCAGCTTGGAGTCTTTGCAGCTTCTTGGCACGAGCCTCTGCAAGGACTCCCAGCGACGTGCTGGTGCTCTGGCAGCGTATGACGCGCTGCTCTTGGGATCTCTCCCACTTTGAGCGTAGAGCTGCGGGACTTCGCACACTTCCTGAGTTGAACTCCACGCAGCACGCTCGGTTCTGGAGGCCGTCCTTCTGGCGAGCCTACCTGAAGAGGGGCCATGTATCTGTTTTGGCCTCAACTGAGCATTGGCCGAGAGGCAAAGCATGCGCGCAGTCAACATGAAGTGTGTGTACTTCACTGCGATCCAGAGCCAAGGCATCGACACTACCGGCGGTGAGCTATGCTCGTTTGCAGGGCCAGGCCTATCCCGATGCCAGATGCCACAGAACATTCGATTATGATTTTGCTCCGATGCTCAAATGGGTTTCGACCTCTTGATGACAGATCGAGGCTTTCGTTAAAGCTAAGGGAAGGCTTCTGAGCTGCAGGGAAGGTTTGTGCGCCTGCAGCAGGAGCAGCTCACGAAGCACTTCAGTCTGTCTGCTGTGATGCGCGACAGCGACGTCCAATCCTTGGCTGATCTGCTGACGCGGAGGGTCGGAGGGGGGACTTGAGCTGCCTCACACTTTCGGCATTTGCAAGAGGAAGGAGTTCAAGTGGAAGTTGCCCTTCCTCTGCAGGACTCGAAAGAAAACTTCCCCGTCTGTTGTGAGACCCGCGCCGCCTCTGCCATGCACCAAAGGCACGCAAGCGTCCAGTATTCTGCCAAAAGAACAACGTGTTCCATTCTGAGGAGGCGTGGGGAGAATCTGCTAGTAATGGCTCGTTGTGAAGCACCATCCCTGCCACTCCATACACATTCGTTAATACACTCATACTCCAATTTGGAATGCTGATGACTAATGTTCGAACGCTTTGCATGTACCAAACTGCACCTGCTGTTGGTGCACACCTGTCATATCATGATTGTTGCTGTGTTGTCACCATCATCGTTGGGTCATTTCTTTCCGACGGCAGAATGCTCGTCAACGGTGTTGTTGTCGAGGTCGTCGTCGTCGTTCTCCGTCGTCATCGTGATGGTTGTGGGTGGTGCTGGTGGTGGTGGTGGTGGTGGTGGTGGTGGTGGTGGTATTTTTTTGTAGTTGTCGTTCTTGTTGTTGTTGTGGTTGTGGTTGTGGTTGTGGTTGTGGTTGTGGTTGTTGTTGTTGTCGTCGACGTCGTCGTCGTCGTTCTTGTTGTCGCGGTGGTGGTGCTGGTGGTGCTGGTCGCGGTGGTGGTGCTGGTGCTGGTTTAGAGTGTTGGAGTGCTGGTCATGCATTGTGCTGGTGCTGGCGGTGCTGGTGTTGCTACTGCTGCCGCTGCTGCTGCTGCTGCTGTTGTTGTAGCTGCTGTTGTTGCACTGTGATGATGGTGGCACGGGTGGTGGTTGCCGGTTCTGGTGGCACTAGCAGTTCATGGTGGCGGTTTTTTGTAGATTGCAGAGTTAGTCAGTGAGTTACAAAGTGGAGGGTGCACTAGTAACTAGTAGTGGTTGTGGCTGTTGCTGCCAACAGGAGTTGCCTTCAGTGACCAGCTTTTCTCATGCGTTTTCTGGAAGCTTGGCATCCCGTCATAGGAGTCATAGTCGGTCTTGTGTGACTCTTGAATGTGCAGCGTGAGGCAATTGGAGAGGCATTGCCACATGAGCTGCAAGACGGGCTCCAAGTTCTGTTGGGAGATGCCAGGGCGGCCAGAGCCAGTGCTTCTTTGCATTACCTTCAACCACCTGAAGCCTTGAGTTTCGATTGCTGGTGGTCGCGTTCGAGGCAGAGTCGGGCCAATTCAACCTCGCCGACCTTCAGCAGGGGCCTTTTCACGGGGTCGGCAGCGGCAGACAAGAGGCATAGGCCTCTAGGTTGACGTCTTGAAAGTCCTTGCTTGTGGAGTGCTCGAACATGAGCCTTCAAGAGGCCTTGCTACGTGTCCACCAGCGGAGTCGAGGCGGGCATCGCGCAGTGAGCTCTGTCTCTGTGCCTTTGCCAGTTTCCATGTCGCTCGTGAACGACCCGCATCACCAGCATGCCGGTTGTATCCAGGACACACACTTCTCGGAAAAGGACGGGTTGGCAACGCCACGAGTTGTCTGTGCAAATTCCTTGCCTGTAAGCTTCTGCACAACCTCGGGCCTTGGCAGAGTCATTCTTACACGCAACATTCGCTGCAGCAGAGCTGGATTGACAAGCTTCCTACAAGAGGCTTAAAGTTGTCTGGAATGTAGATGAATCAGCAGGTCAAGGCCACCGATTCCTTAGGGAAAGCTGGGGTTCTCCTTTGAGCACCCGTAGCTTGGGAGGACCTCCTCGGATTCGATCTTCTTGGTGGCCCAGAGAGTGGCCGACCCAGATCTCCAGATGTAGGAATCTGTGCTCGTGTGGCTCGGGCAGGTGGCAGTTTGAATCTCGTGGCAGGAAGGGGTATGCGGTTCCCCCAAAACATCAGCAATCGAACCGCGGTTCCTTTGGGTTAAGGAACCGAGTCGCTGCTACGATTCGTTTGGGTGGAATTAGGCGTTTCGATTCGTATTCCGCCGGCTGGGGCCTTGCGTCGACTTTAATCTTTGGCCAGAGATTCCAGCAAAAAAAGGTACTGTCTCGAGGCTTAAGAAGCCTCGATAGCCGCAAAAGGATACCTTTTACTTGCGCTGCCGAAAGAGGAACCCTTTTTGGCCCGGCCTGGAAAACATCAGAATGTTGTTTTTGTGTGGGCGTCGGTGAGGGGCCTGGAAAAGCTTGAAAAGGTTGCTTGATTGTCGGTACCTCTTTCGGTTCTGAGAGATCCGAGAAGCGCCAAAAGTGTACCTTGATTGCATGCGAGGGGTCGCAAACAGGTACCTTTCTTTGGGCTCGAGTGCCCGGAGAAGCACAAAAAGGCAGTAACAGGAAAGGTGCAAGACGCCCTTATTAGTTTTTTTGCTTTCGACGCATGCTGTCGGTGTGAGGGGCTTCCGACGTGCTCAAGGTCCGATTTCCCATCAGAAGAGCCAACTGCAGACCCTTTTCAGTAGGTTTTCTGTGGTACATGGCCGGCCACGGGTGCAACTGCATCTTTTTGTTTACGGTACACGAGGGTCATACATTGCTACGATAGCGTGCAAAGTCTTTTGTGAAATAGCAAAAATGGGAAGATCCCAACAGGTGCGTGTGTAAACATTTTTGCTCGTATACACCTTTGTCCGCAGCTATGTTGTCAATCCAAAGCACCGACGTGCAACTGCTTCGATCATGCGACAGGACTTATGTCGGAACATTTCGCAGCCATCTTCTTGCCAGAAACTTGTTGCTGTTGAGAGTTCTTTTTGCAGGATACTTCTTCGTTTGGCCTTGAACATACCTGAGCTGTCGCGGGCACCAGCAAGTCTGATATCTATTTGCTGCCAGTTCTGTTCCAGACTTGGGAGTGCGTGGGATGCCAGGCGACGGTGCAAAGCGAGCTCAGGTGTCGGGCGATCCTTGCGGAAGGTCCTCAGAACGCATACGTCCCAAGAATGTGCCAAAAAGGGACACGCTGGCACACTCTCTGCAGTGCCGCTCCCGCTCAAGGCAATGTATGGAAACATGGAGATTACATTGAGTACATCTCGCTCTGTTGAATCCCGTGTTGATGGACCCCACCGAAGCAAGACACAGAGGGTGCCTTCCCACAATGGAGAGCCTCCCAAATGGATTCCACTCTTACGAGCGGAGACGAAGTAGCAAGAATGGTTGCCCCTTTTCGAACAAGTCGGATGTTAACTTTCCTTCCTGCATGCTCCACTTCTCGGATAGTGCTGTCCCACCGTATCCGTGCAAGAAATGCGAGAATGATCGTCCGCCTCCGCACCTGCAAAACGAGAAAAGCAGAGCTTGTACAAACGGCACTGTTGTTGAGGTGGCCACTGTAGGGCAACAGAGCTTCTGCCACGGCTTGTACAGGGTTTGTCCATAGCTATCGACAAGTGACAAGAAGTCGAGAAACTTTGCAGCTAAGGCATTGCCTTTCTCCTGGGCGGAGGGCAGGGGGCGTGAGTGCCCACCTCGAGCGCAAGGACAGGTTGCTTGCGAGCACATAGTGGACTTGTGCCATGTTCAGAGATCACCGTGCGGCAGTGTGGATTTGATCGCATTACTTGAGATTTCATGCATGGCTGGAACAGACCAACATGGAAGTCTGCAGAAGTGTTCAGAACCAGTGACAGCCTCTGCAGAGGAAGCGCGCTGCGGATTCCTGTATCCTGAGCTTCCAACCTGAGAAAGACCACTCTGGAAGACGAGAGACCCACTCTTTCTGAGTCTAGGCGGTCACTGCCATCATGACAGATGGACCTAAACCCAGAGTAAAGAGACAGAATCTTGGCAAGTGTGCTTGAACAAAACCCAACTGAGCAGCTAGATAGATAGTTGGATCGATGGGCAGCTAAACAGGTGAATCAAGCGATACATACATAGATCATAGATGAATGAGCTAAGGCATCTACGAGTGAACGGATAAGTACTCAGAAAAGTTAGTGAACCAATCAAGTATTGGAAAAGATAGATGCATAGCACGATGGATAAATGAATGAATCACCAGTATACACGTGGGCAGGCAGGCAGGATGGTAATGTAGGTATGTACGACATATAATATGTACGGATAAATGGAATGATGTATAGGTAGACAGATAGACAGATGCAGTCGGTGGTTGATAGGCAAACGGATAGATGGATGAAGATGGACATATAGACACACAGAGAGACAGACAGGTGGATAGATAGCTAGATAGTTAGATGTAAACATATCGACAGATAGGCAGACGGACAGATTGATTAGTAGATAGACAGATCGACAGAAAGACAGGTAGATAATAAGTAGACTTAGACAGATTGGCAGATAGAAGGGTGCATAGATAGGTAGGTAGATAGGGAGACGGATAGACAGATGGTCCGGTAGACAGATAGATAGATAGATAGATAAATCGGTAGTCCGATCGATACATCGATAGTTCGATAGATACATGGATAGCTGGGTACGTAGATCGATCGATAGAAAGAAAAAGTAGATAGACAGACAGACAGAACGGGAGATAGATAGACAGATGCAGATACATGGATAGATGGAACGGGGCACACGGAGAGCTGAACGGGCGGGATCTGAGCGGGCTTGACATGGAGAAGCCGGACCGTGTCCTCGGCAGTGCCGCAGGGAAGTCGGGGGGCACTCAGCTACCAAACCTGCGAGTGGATCGGGGCGTACCATTGGGGACCTGGTGAATGCCTGACTGTTTCAGAAAGGTTCAGGTTGAAGATTGTGTCTTTGCTGTCAGCACGTCCAAGAGCTAGTTCCGTCACAGCGCATCAAAGGCGAGTTATGAATCAACGTGACACTTTGTTTGGAGTCGCATCCTCTCCCTTAGGCACTCTAGTGTTGTCCAAAGCCGTGAGAGAGAAAAGCCACCTGAAGACCTAGATGGGGAGCAGAAGGAGAGACCCACTCCTGATATACCAGTTGTCTTTCGGGTTGTCTCGTTTGCCAGAGTGCAGAGCTGGTGTGTGCTGCACAGAACGCTCAGTCCGGCTCTCGGGGGCCGCTAATGCTCATGGATCGTGTTGTCACTTTGAAACGAACTGCTACTTTTGAATGTTGACTTCTGCTATCTTAGCACGGTGGAAGCGGCGGACGAGGGCTTGGACAACAACAGCCGAGTCGTAATCGGTATTGTTTCCACCAGCAGAACTCGGAGCTTCTGCGTTGTTTCTTCTCATAGGACATCTCTGGCTGTTTTGCCTAATTAGAAGGTTTGGAGAATCCTTCAGAAACGGAGAAGGTCAGCACGGGGTCCGAGATGCTGTGACGTTTGACGTTACGATGGCCGAGAGCCGATGTAGCCCTTGAGGCGATCCCAGACCCATAGAAAAATTGGCAGCATGCATACTTCCTGCAGGGCCCGGCCTCTGTATTGGGGTCCTGTCTCCAGCGACCGTTTGGAGCAGTCCAAGGGCCAACGAGCGAAGCCATCGATTGGGTTTAGGAGAAGTTGCTCTAGGTCTGTGGGTCGCGGCTGCTGGCGCAGCCTGCTGCATTGATGCCCAGTGGCAGCCAAACATGCTGCGACTGGAGATCTCAACAGGGCCACCAATGGTTTCAATCTGTCCAGAGACAGTTCTGGTCAAACCGGCAGTTGCCTCGCCGAATGCTGGACTTGCGAGATCGCTGCCTTCAGCATCTCACAGGGTCCCCGCTAAGACCAGCAACTGCTAGGGTGGAGGCCAGGGCTCACAGAATCTCACAGACCTTCCGGGAAGAGACGGGGTTTCGTGATGCTAGAGAATATCTGTGCTAATGTTCTGCATGGCAGGGGTAGTGCTGAGAGAGCCCTGGGGCCCCACCCTTGTCAGAGTACAGGGAGTGAGGTTGAGGTGACATGCGTCGTTCTAAGGAGCCGCGAGCCGCATCCAAGCATCAGCTTTGGTTATCGGCTTCGCTTTAGCATTGAAGTGTATCTGCTGTGGATGCAGGCTCAGTTTCTCCTTGAGTTTGCCTGTGTGCGACTTTCGTTCGTTCCAGGGGCTCGAATGGCCGTTCGACCAGCGAGCTAACATTTAAGTGGAGCTCTTTGGGAGGGCAGATCTGCCCTGCGTGTGCTGGATGCTTCCCATACTCAAGTCTGACAGCAAAAGCGGAACTGTTTACCATGTGCAATGCTCGCAGCCCAGCCGACGCAGTGGCGGACACCTGAAGGCCCAACTCTCGTAAATTAAGTTTCGGCTTGCCAGGCGTGCTGCCTACGTAAGCAAGGTTAGTTAGGTTTCCGTTATACGATCGCTGTTTGCGGAATCTCCTGGTCGCAGCCTCAGCTCAGATGTCAGATGAAGCAGAGCGCACTATGCCGCTGTCACTATGCAATAGAGTCTATGCGGCCATGCCACAGCCTTGAAGTCGTAAGCCGAGGCCAGGAGGTAGAGGCTTTGGGACTTCTTACGTGGGACGTTTTGAAATTGGGCTTTGCTGTTGAGTCCGAGGCCGTTTCTGGAGCGAAGCTGCCGCAGACCAAATTCCGTTGGCTGAGCACAGGCCTCCCGGATTTAGAAGGTGTCTGGTCTTGAGAACTTGTCCCGTCTCTCCGTCATCTGCTCTGCCCCGGCTCACGTCGCCACGAAGCATTTCATGCCCGAGCCAGGTCGGTGCAGACCCTTGGCCGGTTTGTGGCAGGGCCGAGAGAGCCCAGTGAACGGCAAACAGCCTGGGTTCGTGACAAGGGGCACTTGGGACAGACGGCGGCCTGTCGGGTCTTCCCGGAGTCTTACTGCTTGTCCAGTCCCTATGCCTCCGAGATACCGCCCAGACTTGCGAGGGTTGCCTGGTCGTTACTGGCACGCTCCATAGGTGCTTGGGCATCCTGGAAGCTGTTTTTTTCTTTGGGAGCGAGGGTTTTGTAGAGATGCGGTTTGGATCCCTTGGCCGAAGCCCGTGGAGCGTTGCAAGCAGATCAATATGAGCTTCTCGCTCTCTCTCCTTTCGCGCGCAATTGCCGCTTCTTGAATTCAACTTGTAACGTGCATGCAGGTTGCTGATGAACCGGGTCTGCAGGCAGACAGAGATATATGCTATAGGAGAGTTCAGCAGCTACAAGATCCTAATACAGCTCTGCAGATGCCAGGACAAATCAGTGGTCGCTCTGTTGATAGTTTGCACTTAACCCGCGCAAGCCAACTGCTTGCTTGTGCGACGAGATATTACTTGTCCAGAGAAGTATGTTGGCTGGTTAACGGGCCTGTTGTGTAGGCAATGATAGGGGCAAGCTTTGCTACCATGTCTTGCCAAGCCAACCAATGCTTTGTGCTACAGTCGCATTGCTTTCCAGCTGTTCGACGTGGATGTGTCGGGCGCCCAGTTCGAAATCTGCGGATCGAAATTAAAAGTGTCGCGCTCCGATAGTCAGCCTGTCCATGGCTCAGGTAGTGGCACCTCTGGATTTGCACAGGCGGGGCTGCCGAGTTGGGTTGCTGAAATTTGACGGCTGAATCTAGCGTGTCTATGGTTCGGAAACAGGTTTGGAACATATTGCGGAAGCTCCCTGCGTACTTGCGTCGGTGCTGTCTGGCAGGAAGGTGAGACGACTGCCAAGAGATGAGCGAGAAAAACGCAACGATGGCTTCTGCAATCTCAGGGTGGATGGTCGTCACACAGGCGTGCAGTGAAAGCGCAACACACACTGACGGTTGGTTGCTATCATGTCTTTTTTTGCCCTCGCAGCCATGTCTTTCGCCATTGCCAGAGCACATCTGTAGAATCAGTAGGCGTCCCCGTGGTGCAGATTGCACATCCAGCACCCACTTCAGCAGAGCCCACGAAAGAAGACCTGACTACAACGGGTGCGGATTGCAGTGAAGATGTTTGACTTTGACGAGATCGAGGCAAGGTATCTTGAAGTGGACAGCCTTGAACTCCTGTTCACTTCTGTTCGTTTATGAGTGTACGCTATGTGTGCAAGAAGATTTCCTGCAGTTGCTGCAGCTGTGCAGGAGACTGTTGAGAAGGAAGGTGAGTGGAAAGAGGCGGGGTATTCTGAAGTGGCATCCTGTGTGAGGGCAAGAAGGTCATTCGGAACTCGGAGTAAGCAGGCGCTCGCTGAAGCGAGTGGAAGGGCTTGCAGAGTGGAGTCTGACAGGCCCAGTAGTGCACGATACTCTGAGCCGCTTGACACCGGCACCAATTGGTATGCTTGGTCGTCGCGTCGTCTGTCTCATGTCCCCACCTCCACTCCCGAGTTTGCCCTGCAGGGAGCGTCGGCGGAGAGCCCCTCGAAGGCCTGTGTCTGTCGAATCACTGTATTGGCCTTTCGTGGCTTGTGACAGGCATCTCGGGGTAAGAACCCTGCATCTGAAATCACGGCACTCACGCTCTGGAAAGCCTTGCAGGCTGGAGGATGCGGAAGCCTCAGCACCGAACCCCAGAACTTGAAGTCATCGACTTCGGTCCGCCATACAAAGGGGCATTGAATCAAGCGCAAGCCCCGCCACACTGTCTCCGCTGGCCCAAGGTGTGTAAAACATGTGTATGATGCAGGCAACTCGGCCATCCCTTGAGCTCTAAAGCTAAGTAGGCCTTGACATTCACCTCCCGTGGTGTCCCCAGCACAGCCACCTCCAACAAGCACCGGTTGGGGACGCGAAGGGCTCGCCCCATCTCGAACCTCGTTCGCCCTCTTCGGCTAATGCTCCAGACCTGCAGCCCCCAAACTTTAAGAGACCACTGAAAGGAGCAGGGCGCGTTTCCGGGCACCTCAAATGGTTTTGCTGGCGCCGTCCTTTGGTGTCGGGGCCCTCCTGCTTCGCCAGGCCAGGCCCCTTCCAGATCGCATGCACTCACGTGAGGCCCGGCCTCCCGGCCTGCTCTGAAGGTGAAATCCGAGACACGGACTTGGCTTGACTTTCTGCTCGATGCTTCCAAGCAGCTGCTCCTTGGTCCCGCCTTGTTGGCATCGAGAGGTTGTGAGTTCAAAGGCTTCTCAAGGCTACTCGAGATGCTTGACGGTCGTCCAACGACACAAACTTCCTCCTTGGTGTTCTATTTTGGAACATATCTCCAAGGGGACATGGGGGCAGTATCACAAAGTGAGTCTTCATAGCGGTGGGGTTGGCGGATGTTGGAAGAACAATCAGCCGATCAGCCAGCTTCATGTTTGTACCCCCGAAGTGGCAAGGCCCTAAGGCCCCACAAGTGCACTGTAGCTCCGGCAGATGACCACTGCCGGATCCAAGGTTTGGCTGCTTGCTGCTGTGGGGCATCCACTACCTATGGAGGTGTCTCACGAGTTTCATCACTCTCGCCGAATCTAGCCTTCGGGGAAGGGAGCCAGAGTCATCTCCCTTTGCTTTGTCAGAGTTGCGGCCTAGCTTTGGAGGCCCAGCGACGAGGTCTTGCGGCTGTCCGAGCCCGCTGCAGAAGCTTCTGGGCTTGTTTCTGTTTGAAGAGACAGGGATGGATGCTCTGTCCGGCATGCTTTGTCAAGTTCTCGATGTGGACGAAGTTTGTCAAGAGATGCAGTACGGTCCTGCTTGGGTTATGTAAAACTAGGTCAGCTGAGTCACATCTGCCGAGGCCACGTGCGGCGTCGTGTTCCAGTACTTGCGCCTCGTTGAGTTTCAAGACATGGTGCCACGAGTTTCTTCGAGCCATCCGAGAGGTTCTTGCGCCTAGATGTCAAAGCTAAGTCCGGCTGTGCAGGTTGCTTCAGAGCCTCAGCCGAGTCCTGGAGATATCTACCGGCCGTACCGAGCCTTGGTTTGATCCCTTCGGTGCTAGTCTTCGGAGAGGAGTTGAAGCGAGTGTCCGCTCGAGCCGCATGATGACCTGACACCTGCAGCAGTTCACACCGGTTCATTTTTCTCGAATGCTTGCACAGTCCACAACTCTCCTGTTCAAGCCGGCCTGTTGTTGTTGTTGTTGTTGTTGTGGTGGTGGTGGTTGTTGTTGTTGTTGTTGTTGTTGTTGTTGTCAGCCTGCCGGCCCGAAGAGGATTTCCGAACTGGGGAGTACCGTGATGATGCGGATCTCATGGTGCCAGGCGCGTCTTGATCGTGTCTGCATGCATTTCTAACTCAAAGCTGTCCCCGAAGTGGCCGAGTCGCTGGGGGCTACAGGCAGATACATTTGCCAGCTTCTGGTTTGGCTGGCCTGCGTTTGCGCCTCCGAATGGGCGCTCGAGACGCTTTCCCTCCCCGGCCTTTTTCGAGGCCCTGTAGTCCTGTTGCCGCTCGACTGCCTGAAGGTTGAGCGAGATTCCGAGGGCGACCTTTCTGTCTGACCTTCACATAGTCCTCAGCCTGGAAGGTTGGATCTTACATCTTGGAGTACGAGCCTCGAAGGCTTGACAGAGCTGCCCCTTGCTTAGCGAGCTCCAACATTCGCTTGCAATTCTACTCTGTCGCCCCAAGCAAGAAGCTTGCGACCATCCAGGCTCATGCCATGTGTCGCCTTGGCCTTGCAGTTCTGGCTCACGGATTGCTTCATCCAGAAAGGTGGGCTGCCTCCTTGGCAGGACCGAGACGGGGTAAAATGCAACGGCTTCATCCCCTGCGTTTCTGCTCCTTGCTGGATTTCATGACCAGGCTCTGGCATTGGTGATCTGGGCCTCGGCAAGTGCCGTTGGAAGCCTGCTGTCTGCACTGGCTGCAACCTGCCGCGGTCTCGTGAGGCCCTCCCTAGCGCAGCGCTTTTTTATCATGTATGCTTGACCTCTGCGCCTATGCGCAGCTCTGTGGTGGGAGGATGTGGCCGTCGGCTGGGCCTGGGCCACTGGGCGAGCCCTTGCTTGATGAAGAGGAGGGCCAGGGCGAGTGCCAGGCGAAAGAACCGAAGCAGGAGGCGCCGGAAGTGCCGGAGCTGCCAAAGGCCCGTGGCGCGCTCTTACGTGCAGCCGTCGCTGAGGATGTGGCTCTGTGGCATTACATTTGGACAACTCTCGCTGAAAGGCCCTGAGCTCCTGGGTCACCTGGGTCACATCTTGTTCGGGGGGCGCCAGCGATGGTGGTGACGGTGCAGTGATGCTGAAGCGGTACTTGCTCGTGCTGTTGCTGCCGTTGTTGGTTGTGATGCGTGTTGCCGTTTGCCGCTTGCCTGCAGACTGTAGGCCATCTGCCGCCGATTCGCACAAACTTCCTTTAAGAGCGGATTTAGCTCTGATCACTCTCCGATCTTAGATCAGCACGAGAGGACGAAAAAGGATCCGTGCCAGCAACACACGACAAAGTTCCAAAGGACAGAGCACAACTAGGCCAAGAGAAGCAATATGTCGGCCCGAAGGTCGAGGTATTCGGCGACTCCGGCAATGTTCAGCCAGCAAGCATTGTGCTTGAGTCTCTTAGTGTCTGTTCGTGTATCGCACAATGGATGGACCCTGCTCCCTTCCTTATCAGAGAAACGAAGAGACCAGTGTGTGAGCACAGTGTATCAACCTGTGGACCAATTCTCCTCCTCCTCCTCCTCCTCCTGCTCCTCCTGCTCCTCCTGCAGCAGCAACGGTGACAAACATTGCTACTACGGTTACTACCACGACAACGATGCCTACGACTCTGCCGACGACTACTGCTGCTGCTTCAGCTACTGGCTGAAGCCTGCTCCTGCTACCCTCAACCAGAGACCGAATTCCTTCCTATTCCTTTCTCAACTGGCGAACGGCCACTGCCCACTTGCAGCCCGAACTGAACGACCTGTCATTCAGTCTGTAGGATTGAAGGTGCTTGATAAGCTGTCCTTGTCGATGTGAAAGAACCTTGACGACGAAGATTTGGAGGTCCGAGGTCTACTCCGTTAGTTTATCCTGATTTTGCGGCTACGACGACGCACGTCTCTACATTCCAAGAGCCGACCGCACGGAAAGCAACGATTTTGTCCACGGGGTGAGGAAACATGTATTGCGGGGGCCTTTTTTTGCACATTCCAAGTGGAAAGTGACGTTTTCTGATACACGTACTTGTAAGACAGAGGGAAGGCGATTCAGTCCAGAAGTCCTTCTCAATCAAAAAATGGGTTTCATTTTGGCATGCAAAAGGAGACATGAGCAAATCTAGTTCTCGGTATTTCACTTCGTCAACAATCGCAGTGTGTACGAGCAGCAGCACCCCTCGAACAAAAAGTTGAGCACTCGTCTTCGTTGCCACATGATCTCCAACTGTGTCTTCGTCGCCGCCAACTGTGCCAGATGCTGTCGCTTTCACATGCAGGACATGTACATACATGTTCACTTTACATTGCCTCTATAATTCCTGCACAGCTCAGGCAGCTGATTTCATCAAGTGCCCTCCTGTGCTGCCAAGCATTGGCAGCGTGCCGTCCCCACGTGCAAAGAAGCCATGGCTGCCGCCAGCAGTCAAAGACCTTGGCCCAGCAAAGGCACCCTTCCAGCAGTTTCAAAACCTGAGTGGGATGTTTGCAGAGCGCGATTCCGAACTCAAAGAGTTGCACGAAGAACTCGATGAGCTGCTGGGTGGCCTGGGACTCGATCACTTGAAGACTCCTTCGCCTTCACCAGCTTCTCCTGGCTCCCCAGAGCCAGTGAAGCCAGTGAACGTGAATGGTATCTCCAAGAAGGCTGCAAAAGTATGGGAATCACCTGTGGTACCGACACCGGCGGGGGTCCCAGCGCATGTGGTGCCGGCACCTGCTCCGGTTGGCCCAGATCACAGTGGCCCGGTTGCCCGGAGCCTTCCATGCTTGGCCACGAGCTCTTCGCGCGCTTCGCGTGGACTGCCTGATGTGGAAGGCAAGGCGGAGGGGCCCGTGCTGCCAGTGCCACATGGGCCCACGGGACCGACCCCCAGGACAGATGCGATGTTCAGCAACGTGAGCAGCTGTCTTGGTCATCGATTGGTCTCTGTACCTTGCAGGACAGTTTGGGGCAGCCCTCAAAGCTACGGAACTTCACCCCGTTCACCTCACCATGTTGCCGGCTCGGTGAGGTCTGAGCCAGGCCTCAATGTGGCGATGAATAGCTTTCAGAGGCGAAGTAGTACTAGACTACTGTCATTGTAGCGCACGAGATTTCAATTTTTTTCGAGGCGAGTCTGTAGATAGCCAGGGGATGCAGTTGTCGCAGAGTGTTTGCGTAAGCCCAGCGGCTTGTTGGCTTGAAAAGGTGCTGCCCCACCGCCATTGCCACAGCAAGCCACGTCCACGCGCGCCATGCCTCCTTGAGCGTTATCAGGTTGGGTTCCAGCTTCCCTCTTCTACCACGGACCTTAAGTTTCATAATGTGCTCCTAGGTGCTTAGGGGCCCCATGCGCTTAGACCGTAGGCACCTCGTCGAAAGAAGTCTTTTCCTGTCTAAGACCGGGCGCCGACAGTGGCTGAAGGAGGCTCTGATTGCACCACGTCGCCGTCCCAGCGCTGGGAGCGGAAGTCGCGACGCTACGATGTCCTGGACAGGCCTGGCGAGCTCTGCTGGGGTTCAACCCATGCTGTCTGCAATCACGGAAAGTAAGTCTCGAGGGTAGGAAGCTTTTCCGATAGCATCCCGGGTCAGCAGGTCTCACAGCATACGAAAACAGCATTTTCTTCAGCCTCCACTTGATTGAAGGCACTGGAAAGCAGGTCAAGTTCGCTGTGAACATTGCATTTTTGGACATTGAGGTTCAAAGAACTCATGCGCTGAAGCCGATAGTGTCATGTTTCCATCACGCTGGGTCGCCCGCCAGCAGGAAGATTGACTCTCTGCTGTCTGCCCTCGGAACTTCGAGCATGCAGCCCACAAATGCGGAGCTTCATGCTAAGCTGATCACTGAATGGCGGTCAGGTCCGAACTTGCCCCATCGCCTTTTTCTGAGGAACGGTCCGTCACGCCCCTCCCAGGAAGAGGAGAGACAAAGCGCGTGGCCTGGCAAATCCTGATGAGAAGGGGATAAGGCCGACCTTGTTTCTGTGAGGGTGATTCCAATTCTGAAGTTGCGTAGAGGGCTTGGCTCCTTTGATTTGCGGTCTTTTCCACAGGACAGGAAGTTTGAATTTACAACCGCCAAATCATCTGAGGTCTAGCGTGGATGAGCGCATTCAACGTCTTCAAGAGAAGCTGCTTGGCCGATCTCCACATGAATGAGGATTACAAGATTGTTTCCTTTCCTAGAATCTCTCACGTGATCAGACGGCAGTCTGCTGAGAGCAGCACTTCGCAGCCCAGGATGCAGCAGCTATTTCTTGAACGCGCGCAGGGTGCATCTGGCAGAGGTTCTCCTTGATGAACTTTCTGGGTATGCTATATGGTCTCGGATCCTTGGTAACACGGGGTTGAGCTCCGGCTTGCGCTTCTGAAAGTTGCATCCTACGCGGCACCTGTTAATGTGAGCTGGCCAGCGCCAGGGTTTCACCGATTGTGGCCGGCATTGGACTGCTGTGGTTTGAGTTTGAGCTACCCCTAGAAGCTTCTACCCTGACTCGAGCAGCAATCCAGACCGCCGGTAATTGCACAGGAACTCTGTTCCGTCCGCAGGTGTAAACGAAACAGGGATCTCTGCCAGTGGAGACAGCGCCACTGATCCCTGATACATCCGGGAGCAACAGCGCCCAAACCATTAAAAGTCCGTCCATGAACATGTGTTTGCACGCGCAACGGCCAGTAGCTGCCACCTGCTCGTTACGCGTCATGCTTCCCGGCCCCAGTGCGGCTGGCTTGTCACGCTGTGGCATTCTATCAGGCATCCATCTGCCTGTTGTGCTTTCGCTATTGAGGCGATGCTGTCTCCGTCCAGAAAGTGTCGGAGGAGATAAAGGCACAGCACGCTTCAGGGACAAAGCCAGTCAATTTTGAGCTGTTGTAGGGCCTACATGTGCAAAGTCATTTGCCCTTGATGTCTCTTTCAGAATTGACGCTTAGCCACCTTGATCATGCCTGTTGTGCCATGTGCCCGGAATTGCAAGCGAATATCTGACTGAAGCGAGCCCGCTGAAAGGAGCAGGGTGATGGCGATGGAATGTTTGACTTCGACGAAATCGAGGATCTACGAGGGTCTTGCATCGAAGTGCATTTGCCTCGTTTCGGGATGCCGATTCTTTGTTCTACTAGCCCAAGGCTCTGTTTTCCGTTGGGCTCCTGAACCTCCGCATTTGCAGAGGCCGATGCAGCTCAACAGGCTGTCACTGAGAGAGCGTGGCGCCCGGCTTCTTCTGCCTTCCCATGGAGCTGAACGACGAGAGCCTGTTGTGAGCATCGCAGGCAAAAGCAGATGGCACTGTGCCTGTGGAGGTGCGCTTCGTCTTACAAGGCCGGTGCTGTTAGGGATGGAGGTGTTGATACTGCTCTAGCTCTTGCAAGGCGAGAAGTGGAGCCGCAGCTTTGAGGTGCACGGCAAATTGAAGCCGGCAAAGGGCTTGTACTCGTTTTCAGGAAAGAGTCTGCGAGTCGGTGTCCAAGCGCCAGGTGCCGGCAGGGTCCTCGGTGAATTTTCTCAGGCGCGAGATGGCGGGAGAAGAGGCCGGAACGGAGCATAGGCATAGCCTCAGAACTCGAGGGCCTATACTTATAGTGATCATAGGCTCTGTGCGGGAGATTCAGCAAAGTGGTTGTTCAGATGCGTGTTCAAACCCATTTTCGATCGGTCGATCCGTGTTTGAAGATCAGTCTGGAGGCCAAGTCTTTCGGTCTCAGTGCTAGAATTTTAGAGTTTAGTTTTTGGTTCACTGTGGCAAGCATTGCTTCGATAGGCCGGACCGGGACTCAAGCGCCGCGCTACTTCTAGGGCCCACGGTTCCGCGCACTCCGGCTCTGCGTTTGTCCCGTCCTGCCTGTCCGCCGGTTTCAGGAATGCTCATGCGTGAATGTGTGCGATGTCACAGACATCATGGTGTCGGCATCGCCAGAACATGATTGGTTCAATTTGCGTTGAAGACTGCTTGCCTTTGGTTCCGTCCCACGTACTTGACCTCTAAATTGCAGAACTCATTCCCTGATTCAACCCTGGTGCTAGGCTGAATGGATCCAGCTGTATCGGCTCGGCACACAGATGGGTCAAGAGTTCGAGGTGGTGTTGCTGTCTAGGCCTGAAAAATTTTCGGGTCCGGGAGGTGCCCTGATGCAGCTTTCCTGCTGCGAGTTGGTCTTTCGTCCCAGGTTCGGCCGACAGGTGGATCCCAGTGAAGTGTTGAACAAGGCGCCTGAGCTTTGTGTCCAGTTTACAAAGAAAGCAGCCCGGCCAGAGGCGGCGCGATTCGACTTCGCGTGAAGCTGGCGCAGTTGCCTGTTACCAGTAATGCCTCGCTGAAGTTCAGGCGACTCGAAGCCCTAAAGCCTGGAAGCCCTAAGCCACCAAAAACCGTCAACCCTAAAGCCCTAACCGCTGGATCGGATTCTTTCTTTCTCATTTCGGCCGTAGCCATGGCCAGGTTCCGACCGCCGGCTTCCGTGGCATCGAAGCCTCCTCCTCTTTGCCCGGAGGTGCTGTGAGCACAACGAGCAACCAGCTTTCTGGGGTCTTCCAGAGTGGATTCACTTTTAATTCCACGCCTCCCGTCAGCCACAGTTGCGTGCAGACTTTGGAATCCCAGTCTGGCTAGCACTCAGGAGTCCAAGACTGAAAAGTGCAGGATTCCGGAGTTTTTCTCTTGGCTATGCTAGCTTGAGCGATCTCTCCGCGGGTTTTGAAAAGGCCCTCATCCAGAAGCCAGTCCAACCTTGACATCAGGCTGTGTCACCAAAGTGGAAGGGCCACGCAGAGGCAGTTAAGTTGTGCATGGGTGCAGGGATTTGCCTGTGCATGGTAGTGCCTGGTAGTCTTTGTGGTTCGCTGCGAAAGGGACATGAGGATGCCGAGTGGCCAGTGCTCATTCAGGAAAGAACTCGTGCAGTTGGTGCAAGCCGTGCTTGCAGCCTGGTCATTCCCAGTCCCAGATAGGAAATGTTCTAAACTAGATTTGTGCTTACAGTCTCGGAGCCAAGTGGCAGAAGAGTGGGCAAGCATAAGGAACTTGGTCTTTGGTAGAGGTCCGTGTTCACATCGACCATGTGCTCGACCTGAGCCACCGCTTTCCGGTGAAGGAGGCGCACTTGACTTGAAGGCCCCAATCCCCAAACTGACTGCGAAAAGCAACTGTGCCCTCCCATCCCTCGCCGGCGGCAAGCCTGCCTTCGTGACGCCTTCGTGCCTTCAGTCTGAGTTTGTTCTTGGTGATATTGCAAAGGCCAGGCTTACCTGTACAGACAGATCAAAAGCTCTGCGCTACAGGCGCCTTCGCAGGCTTGTGAGAGCAAAGCAAAGCCCGCCGACTCCCCACTCAGAGTCAAGATACTACTAGTAGGAGGTGCTAGAAACAAAAGTGGGATGCTGCCGTCCCCATGCCACTTGGGCAGTCACCCACTGCCAGTCCACTTGGCAGGGCACCACCATCTCAGAGCTGAAGGCAGCGATGGCTTCGTCTGACCCGACATCAGCTTCTCGTCCAGAGGTGGGAAAGCTGCTGCCTTGTCCAGTCTGTGCTCCTCTAAGCCCAGCAGTGAGCTCATGGTCCTCGCTGCAAAGCGCTCTTCAGTCCTTGAGGGAGCACGAGCAGAAGCTTTTGAGAGAGTCTTTGCGAGGACTTCGAGCTGTGCATCACGGGTGGTCCTCGCAAGCCGCTGGCAGGAAATGTGGTGAAGGGCTGAGTCGGCAGAGCAGTTTTTTTGGGGTCCAACTCTGCCAAGATGCTGAGGTCTTGTCCGAAGTCGGGTTCCTTCCTGAGCTATGTCGATGTCCAGAGGGCAATGCACGGACCTCGCACACGACCTTGGCATGAAGGCTTTGGCAACTGGACCTACTGCCGCCCTGAGTGCTGGGAGCCTGGACTAGAAGAGTCCTGAGGCCCTTCCGGCCGAACAAGGTCTCGAGTTTCACCGGCTTTCCCTATGCAGTGCGGAAGGAGCTCCGTGTGTCGGGCAGTATCGATTTTCATCTCTGGCCTAAACCGGAAAGTCGTCGGGTTCTTGCCGGACAATGCAGCCTGTGAACCGATGGCTGGTGCCCCACTTACTTCGCCTGTTCAGATTAGTGGCCCAAGATACACAATGACACCAACTTGGTTGTATGCTTTTCAGTCCACTTTCGCGGAGTCCAAGATAATCCAAGCAGCATTGAACGAATCAGTCCACGACCCGCAATGGTCGGCTATGCACGGTGCTCAGCAACCACCGCCGGCCGTGGATGTTGTGTCCAGAATTGGCAAACGTACCCGCCCTTACCACCTGACGTCGACATGTGGAGCTCTAGCTCACAGAAACAGAAGCGTTGTGACCCCCGACATGTTGCAGAGCTGGAATCGACCGAAACAGACAAAGGCAAAGCTCATGGCCTCCGGACGCTGCCAGAGATGAACTCAGACCCGGCGACCTTGCCTCTGTGGCAAGCTGGAAGCCCAGACCAGAACTGCTAAGTCCGAAAATCAAGCAAAGCGTGGCCAAGGCCGCGTCGAGAGTCTGGGCCAAGAGCATGGGTCTCGGGTCCGAGATTCGCCAGAAGTGCATGGCCCCAGCTTGCCAAAGTCCAGGCTCGTCAACTTCGCCCACCTGGCCAAAGCCCGGCTTCTCGGACGGCAATGTGCGACGCTGGACTCCATTCAAGCCAGGAGGCCACGAGAGGAGAGTCACACTCAGTGCTTTGAAGGTTGCTGGCAGCCAGTGCTGCGGCGGACATGGGTCCTTTCCGCGTGCAGCTCGGGAAGACTTTTGCTCAAATTCAATGTTGATCTGGCGGCACACCACGTGTCAATCTCGCAGAGCTTAGCAGGTGGAGCGCTATCCAGTAGCCTTGTCTTTTCGCCACTACTTGATTCGATCTGCGACGGCCAGGGTTTAGGCTGAGCATGATGTGCAGCGAAGCAGCGCAGATTCTTCTTCAAGGAAACTCACAGTCTCACAGTTTGTAGTGTTTAGCCCACAAGACTTTCACTGCAGCAAATGCTTTTGGCTCGTTCTGCTGCAATGTCCAACGAGTGACGAAGCAGACTCACAATGGACTACCGCCTTTAGGTTATGTGCAGCGATCATGACTCCAAGAAAATCCGTCCCCGCTCCTCACCCTTTGACTATGTTCCGAATTGTTCCGAGTCTTGAAACCCTTGTCATGATTAGCAAGATTGCGCCAATCAAAGAAAGAAGAACAAGGAATACCATGGCATGATTTCTTCTTCTTCTTGTCGCTGTCGTGGTCGTTGTTTTTGTCCTCGTCGTCGTTCCTGAAGCTTATCCCGTCCTAAGACAACAGCAGCAGCAACAACAACAGCAGCACCTGCTGCTGCTGTTACTGCTGCTGCGGCTGCTGCGACGACGACGAAGACTACTACTGCTGCTGCTACTACTACTACTACTACTACTACTACTACTACTACTACTACTACTACTACTACTACTACTAAGCATCTCGGCTCGCTCCACCACGCCTGGGGGTGGTTTTCGTCTCGTTCCCCCTTCCAGCCTATAGGCCTATCCCTCCCCCCTCAACATCCTCTGTCACATTCAGGGCGTACAGGGTGATACAATGCGATGGACATGGCTTTGTGCTCTCCTCATGGAGCCAATAAGGTTCCCCGACATTCGAACAGGTGGCGAGGAGAGACGTCACAGGAATTCCATATTAGACAACTGTCAATGGAATTCCTTTTCCTGGCTATGCGCCCTTTACCATACAGCTCTAGGATCAGCCTGCAGCTGCTATACAGCAGCTCATGGCTACAAACCTCGGCATTCTGCATCTGGCAGGAAACTTGGACATGGCTGTCCCCTCTGCACAGGGTGGACTTCCTGGAGCAAACCTACAGGGTCGATCCCATTTTTGCTGCCAGCGCTTTGGAAGCTGCCTATGCTTCACGCCTTTGCAGAGCTGCTGACCTTGAAACCCTGGACTGAGCTACTGTTAACTCGCTGCAGGACCTGTTACAACCACATCAGCCAGCAGCCGTGGAAGCTGTGGCGAAAAGGGAATCAGCCCGACCTGACTCCCAAGCATAGCAGGACCCGGCTCTGGACCCTCCGCAGACTGTGGATGTTGGGACTAAGTTTGTTACTATGTCTCGCAGCAACGAACCTGGCTTCCACCACTGCCGCGAGCCCAGAGAGCTACCATGCAGGTATCAGTCCTTTGGCAGGTTGTGCAGGCCTCCTGAACTGCAGCAGCCCACCCGCCTGGTTTCAAGCCAAAGCAGACCTCAAGACCTCCCTACCGACACTGCACTCCATTCTTGCCACAGGAGGTTCTCCTCCGCACCCTTCTACCATCCCCACTGCCTGCCTAACTCCACACAAGGTCCTCCCTCCACAAATCAAGCATAGCCTTCTCCCTCCCGGAGGTCCTCCTCCGAATGTAGTGCTGCCACATTTCTCCAAGGTGAACCAAGATGTCTATGACAGCTCCAGCCTTGGGCGGCCTCCTAGCCGTGGCGATGCAGGACAACTCAGCTGTCAGCATGTGATCTGGCAAGTCAGCACCTGCACCTGTCCAGCTAATGCCAGTTGCGGTTGCATGCCAGCCTGTCAGACATGTGTCAGACACCTCAACAGCACCGGCCTGCGACTCCCTCTCAAGTCCCAGCACTCCGTTAGTCGGAGGTTCCTAGCTAGAGGCGTCATGGATAACGAGGCGTCCCGTCCGGGCCGCCGAGTGAAGACCATCCGGGATTACGAGCGAGAAGCACGCCGTCCCGACAAGAAGACCAGAGCAGCTATCAAGGCTGGCAAAGGAAAAGGTCGCAGCCAAAAAGGGAAGGGACGAGGACCCAACGTCCCCCCAGCATCTTCGAGCTCAACTCCACCATCACTACAAGCGGGGGCCCCTCCGCTCACTGTGTTCTCAGTGATCCGCAACAGAAGCCTCTTGACAACGCGAGGACAGACCCCAAGGAGACCTCCGTCTCCCCCGCGTGCTCGACGAGGCGCTCAGATGCCGATTCCAGAGCCAAGGACGCCCTCTCCAACCATAGATCCGGACCGGCCAACAGCCAACATGGCGGATGACGACGACACGCTTGTGGAAGTGACAATTGAGGACACGGATCAGGTTGCGGTTGAGGTTGAACCGACACCGCGGCAACCCAGACTCCCCCTGCAGCCCAAATCCAAAGCCATGCCGGCTCTGGGTATGACAGGCGGTGCAACAGGACCCTCTGTGAAGCAAGAAGAAGTTTCAGCTATGCCAGATCACATGGCTCAGCCGGTCCTGCCCTTGCCAGAGGATGCTCCAAGCAAGTATGCAAAAGGATCCATTGGCCGCTTTCAACGTCAGAAGCATGACAGACGGCAACAGCAATTACGGCAGGTCACGCGACTGAAGCTCTCCCCTGGACAAGCACGTGCTCTCGTTCGGAAATCGACCGCGGTCAAGAGTCGCTGCAAGCCAAAGGCACGATCACCGGCTTCCATGGCCGCAGAGGCCAAGCATCCGGAAGATGAACAAGTGGCCTCATCAGCTGATGAAGCTCCAGCTCCTGCTGGAGACGAGGAGGCACTCGGTGACGAGCCCTTACAACAGGCCACACCCGGAGGTTCCATCTCCTCCGAGCCCCGACAAGCAGCGCAGGGATCCGGCGACACCACCTTGGAGCTTGTCCTACCCACTCCCCAACCGGGGGGTACGGGAGTGGTCTTCGAGGCTGTGGGTACCATAAGGTCGAGAAATGCCCCGATGGCAACGGGGGAATGCCAGTGGGTTTTGGATCGAGGCACTGGGACCGAAGATGCTCCAATCTTGAACATGCCAGACTGGGTGCTTGCAGCCCTACAGCATCCGCCACTGCATCCGGCTCCACCACCGCCACAATGTGGAGATCAGTCTGCATCGACTAGGCGAATCAAGCGGCGAGCAAAACGCTCTGCTGCAAAGACTGCCTCATCTGCAAACGCAGACACAAACCGTGAGGCTACCGAGGCCTCGATTCCGGAACCGGAAGCGCCTGCCAGTCTGGATGATGCATACATGATGTTTTGCAGTAGGCCACTGGCACACGCAGCTTTGACCCCATCTTTTCCTGTCCAAGCACCGAGCGCCTACATCAACTGCTCCCTCCTTCAGGACCCAACCAGGGCCAAACTTTGCTGGTCAGGGACTGAGTGCATTGCTGCTAGGTCCAATCATTGTCTGCCTAACCCTGTGGGCCCTCACCAACACCTAGCTCTCAGTACTCGCCCTCCCCCCTGGATATACCCCCTGCAACAAGTCCACTCCCAGTACCTGCTCATCACGCCTCACCCTCTCTACCCTGTGTCCTTTGCAGGTTCCGCCGCGACCTCCCCAAGAGGTGATATGCCAGCAGTGCGGCCACTCCTCAGGCGGCCTCCGCATCAGCTGCCAACACTGCATTCTCTCACGGCTGTCACCTGCCTTGGAGATTGGTTATCCCCAACCCATACTCCCCATGTCTGCCCCTCGATCTGTGCACCTTCAGCCCGGCTCACAAACGCTCAGCTGACTGCTAGATTCCTGACCATGTCCCGTAGGGACTGGATTAGCACCCCACCTTCAGAAGGAGGGGACAGCAATGCAGCTAGCGATGTGGATTCTGACATCTTCCTGGCCCCTAGTCCAGAGCTGCACCTCGAGGCGACATGGCCGGCCTCTCTTACTCCTGAAGCTCTAGGGGATGGCACACCACTACGACATCCGCTTGGTACTCCGCCGCCGGCCTCGGGCACACCGGTGGGAGAACTACTGTCCCAAATACAGAGAAGATCATTGCAGGAAGGCACCCGTCCGACTTCCTCTACCTCGACGACCTCCCTGACGGCACCTCCGACTGCACCCGACTTGCAGCAACTTGCACCTCGAAGAAACAGGAAGCGGTCAAGCGGAAGCACCTCAGCCTCAGCCAGACCTAGTGCGGCGCCACATCTCCAACCAGCTGTCTCAGGTTCTACCCCTCACCCGTGGTCTGCCGAGCTGGCTCTCAACCTGACCAGGACTTCCATTCCCATGCAGGAGAGCCCCGACTTGGAAGCACCACGAGCACCTGAGCACAACACAGATGTGGACTTCGGCTATGACCCTCACGTCGAGTCTCTACCAACTCAGGGCGAACCACACTTACTGAGCAGTTCCAGCAGCTCCAGACCCGGCCCTCGCAAAGCCTGTGCTAAGCTACTGGTTAGGGCAGGATACCGCTGCCGCCTGTGTTTTCGAATTCGGCCAAACAGGGCTCAAAGCGATGAAGACCGCTGCCGATGCGACCTGAAATCTGCCCAAGCATTGCTCTTTGTTGATCCCATGTTCCTATGCTGCTCCCCCCCTCTTGACCTCCCTATCACCCCGACTTTGCAGGCTGGCCATCGCCAAGACCTTCAAAGGCCCCGACTTGGGAAACAAGTGCAGTGCATCACACAGGAGGTTGCACCTCCGGCACGGCCCAGTCAGAATACCTGTCTAAGTGCTTCGCAACATGCCAGGGACTCCCGATTGCGTTCGTTCGAGTCTTGCATACAGCCCTGCCCTCCCTGGATGAGCTTCTCCAGGGTCCGAATACTCCTGCCCTGCTCAGCAGCAGGAATGCAGCAATGGGGCACCCGCTTCCATCGGCGCAGGCTGGCTCCAGTGCGGGATCCACATAGGCGAATCAGATGGATCAAAGCCTACCTAAATACCGCAGCAGCCCTGCATTGCTTCAATGAGCTTCTTAAGCCAATGGCCCCCTGCTGGACAAAGAAAACACCGCAGATGCCAC